TGACGCATGCCTGCATTCTGGAAACAGAGGCAGGAGGATTGCTAGGAGTTCAACACCAGTCATGGCTACATGGTGAAACCTTGACTCAAAAAACAAACAATAAATAAATAATCCTTCAAAAGATGGTAAAAATTTTTATGCTGAGCCTTACTTTTATCAGTTTTTCTTGATTTATTTTGTTATGAATAAATCAGGCAACTTTACCATATAAGTTAAGCAAAAATAGCAACAAAATACAGTGGTTTTTGGTCTTTGATAACTCAGTAATAAATAAGCGGAAAAATATGCCCCAAAGGAGCACCTTCCCAAACTGTTTATTCTAACTTCTGAACTGGTTTTGTTCAGAGAACTTGCAGTAAGGCCATCTTGCAAGCCAAGCTGTAGCACTTTCCTCTCTTCTGCCTCATCAACCTCTTGCAGCACGGTTCCTCAGAGCACAGGTCAGGGACCGCCCCATTCAGAGTCAGCTGGGCTTCTCAGAATAAGCGCACATTACCCCTCCCACCAGGGGCCTACTGAATTAAAACCTTTGGAGGATGAGGACCCAGAAGCCATGTTTGTAATGAGAAACAAATGCTTGCAAACCCTCAGGCTAGGGCTTAATCTCTACAGGCTCTAGAACTGACACCAGCCATACAGAATGGTAACTTTGGGGAACATAGAATTAAAATGCGTGCATGCCTTTATCGGAGGGGTCCCACCGTCATCCCTAACCTTGCCGTAAACCTGCATCTCTAAAGGGGTAGGAGGTATAGAAACACAACACAAACAGGATCTGAAAGGATTATTTGCCTAAACCCTGTACATCAGACGGTATTTACACCCAAACCACACAGGACCGCTAGTGGTCTGTTTGCTTACTGAAGATGCTCAAGGACAGAGAACCCACTCACAAATCTGGCTTTTATCCCTGAGTCAGGGAATTTTTAGACAATCTTTCAATTTGACTAAAAGCTTTTGGCTTTCTTTCCCTAAACTCCATTCTTTTGTTTAGTTGTTTGTAAACACAGAGAACAAAGAAAGTAGGCGCCACCTGAAAGCATCCCACCATCTCTCAGGACTGGTGCCTGGCAGGACTCACTCTCAAACTCCTGGGGTTAGAAGAAACTTTACATGCCACATAAGTTGGACCTCCATGTTTTACAGACAAGTAAGCAGTTGCAGGAGTTAAATACCATTCAGTTATAAACCTTGACAGATTTATGGGTATTTTTCAACACCCCAAATTAAATTTTATCCTGGCCCAAGAATGAAATTTGTTTTCAAGGTGCAGTTAGAAAACATCTGGTCCATCTTAACTCAGAGTTGGCTTAAACCCTTCTGCCTCTATGAGCTCATCACACCACTTGGGATACCTGTGCTTAGATGAGAAATGGCACAATGCCTGGCACATAGTGGGTAGGTGCTCAACTGAAAAACTCATGTGTTTATTGTTGGTTCCATTTTTAAAAAGCAGTTTGGAAAGCAACATGTATCAAAAGCCCATGCCTTGGCCATTCTACTTGCTCTAGTAAAACCAGAGCAATGTCTTAATTTGTGTGTAAAATTAAGAAACTTTCTGTCTAGTTGCGCACCATTAGTTTTGTATATGCTCCTCTTAAAGGAAAAACTCAAAGTAACATGACCAAAATGCTGTACAAAAGTCATGCCATCCTCTAGCAACCTTATGAGAGAACTTACTAGCATCTGTTTTAGTCATAAGCAGAGAAAAACTAGCAAGGTGAGTAATGAATCAATTGTCTATTTAATGTATATTATGTGCAAACCACAAGCTTATTCACTTAACCTTTGCTATAACTCTGTGATGCAGACACAATATGATCCATATTTTAGAGATTAAGCACCTTAGGCACTTGTGGCAGGCAATGGAATGGCATGTGACATAATTAGCGATTCAATCAGCATTTGAACAGAAACTGGCTTGATTCCACTGCCAGGCACTCAAATTTGTAACTTATGTCTGTGGAAGTTTTTTTTTTTAAAAAAAAAAACAAAAAACAAAAAACAAAATTAGGGCTACCTGTGTTATAAAAGTAAAAGACCACAGCTGTCATAATTATTACACTTTGCTATCTCCTTATGTTTCTTGTATGGGCTTGCTTATTAAAAAAAAAAAAAACACTATACCTATGCTGACCTTAGTCAGTTATTGTTGTCCTGTTTTCATTCATCAAACTCTTCTGTGCATCTTTGAATTGTCTCAGAGAGGGGGCTGCTGCAGTGAGAGACCCTGATGTAGAAACCTAATTAGGTATACGTGTACTTGAATATTCACTTCCCTTACTAATGCTGGGAGATCAGCTTCCTTCTTCAAGGCAGCCAAGCTTCTGAGGCAGCCAGAGACTACAATATAAGAGCAGGGAGGAAGGGAGGAGCATCTTGGGAAACTTGAAGGTCTGATACTTCCCAGACACGCTCTAATCTGCTCTTAACCTCAGTGGATTCCTTTCCAGGATTTGTGTGCACCATGTGACCCCCGCCAGCGCACATTCTCCTTAGACTTTAGCCTTCCCTTGCTTGCCAGCCTAGCACAGCATTCCTGGGCTTTGCAGTTGCTACCTCCTAAGTGCAGCGCCCTTCATCACAACAGCTCTAGTCCTCAACACCTGCTTTCCTCTGCATCAGCATCACCAAACTGGGTGGGAATTGTTTGTGCTCCAGGTAACGCACATTGTTTACAAATGTGCACTAATTATGTCCTCCTGGTTCTAAGCAGCCCTGCCTCATAAGGAATCCAGGAGCTCAGTTTCTCTTTGCAGAAAATATTGAGAAAGATTTGGGTGATGAAAGACTCTGCCCAAAGCAGCAGAGGAGGATAACAGAGCCAGACAGCTCAGCTCCTGGCATTTCTAGTCGATCTGGCTGATCACCTCCCTGTTTGCAAGAAGGCTCTTCTCAGGCCTCTGGTGTCCCTCCACCCCAGCTTCCATTCTGAAACAGAAAGACAGCCGGCTTGGAAGAGAGGTCAACTGTCTGGGTGACGAGGCGGTGGCTTCCAGAAAGGCTGCTGCTTTCTCCATAATGATGATATTCAACCTCACAGTTTAAGTGCTTGTCTCAAAATATTTCCAGTTCAATGCGAGCCAAATGACAAAAATGTTTTTTCTAAAAAATGAAAAAAAGCGAAAACAAAAACATGGGTTTCTTGTCACCCATCACACTAGCTACTTCAATGTCTGCTCAGTCAGTAAATTATTCCTTCTGATCTTCATTTCTGATGATATCCAGATGGCCTGAAAGTCAGTCTTTTCTGTGACAGTGAAATTCTCTGTGCAGTTAAAAGCCAGTAGCCATCACTTTCAGATGGCATGGGCAGGAATCCAGTGAAACAACATACTGGTTGTTTGCACCCATTTCATAGTAATTGATGTATAACTATTACACACTGCAGATTCAGCTTGGGGTTAGGATTCTTTGTTAATGCTCTTAACTCCTAAAAGGAGACTGTACCTTTTCCTCTAAATAATAAGGCACTACTAAAAGTCAAAGTTGCTGGTACTAATGATTCTATTTCTTCCAAATCATCTAGAATGTGACTGTCGGATTGATGGATTTAAAGACATACTTGTCAGTCTACCACGAATAATTTGTGAGAGCTTTGACTGGGTCATGTTGTGGAATATGGTATTTAAGACTTACTCTGTTTCTTTTTAAATGTTATCTGAAAATGGATAATTAAAAATGGTAATAGCTTATAATATTAATGTAATTTTCAGCTGTCACCATCACCTATTAGATGTTTAAAAGAAAGTAATAGTTTTCTTTTTCCAAATGAAGATAGCAGGATTACTGTCCATCTATTGAGTGTCTGTTCTGTCTAGGTGCAGTAGTAGATGCTTTCTTTTATTATCTCATTTACTTCTTTTGGGGATCTATGAAACAGAATGGTATTACCAACCATATTCATAGACACAGAAACAGAGGCTCAATGAGTAAGGCTAGAAACCCATGAGCATGAGCCTCTACCTGCTCTGTTAGCTGGTTTACTGGATTGAAACTCTGCATAGACTATGCTCATGCCCAAGAAAGAAAGAAAGAAAGGTAAGAAGCTTTGTTCCATGAGATGTGCCTTTATTGCTCACAGTGAAATGGGAGCAGGTGACACTGCATCCCTCACCTGGACACAGATATGTTCATACCAGCTGTTGAATAAAATATACCAGGCTCCAGCAGACCAGACCAAAATAGATTTCATGTGCTAGGTGCCACATAATTAACTAAAACTTGAAAAACACGGGAAAATCTCCAAATAAACCAGTGTCTTCTCAATCCTTGATTCCTAGCAGTCAATCAGAAAGGGCCCAGTCACCCTGAGCTGGCACGGTAGGAAGTTCTTTCTGTTTTAGTCCCCAGAGTAAAGGGACCAGTGTCATCTGATATTATCCAATCCACTTTTTTTTTTTTAAAGGGGGTAAAATTAAACACAACAAAACAGAACAAAATTGGACATAAAAAAGCAATGTAAGAGATATAAATTTCAAAGCTAGATGACCTAAGATCTTCACTATCATATTGTCTCTTGTTTTCTTCCAAATAGTTGTCCATTTCTTCACATTCAGAGAATTCATACAAAACAATGTAGTATAAAACTGATCTGAACAGAATGAGGAAGGTGTTTTAGGTCCTCAAAACCAGACAATAGGGGAGTCACTAATGGCTGTTATAGAGTCTCTTGCTCTCTTCAAAACAGCTCTCCATACTTTCACGCATATGGAAGTTCAACAAAACAAAACAGGCAGGGTGGGAGGGGTTGCTTAGTTTTCCAGCACTCCAAGTCCCGGCATGGCACAGGTCCCAGTAAACGCCAGAGGCTCCCATCCTGGGCCATCGGAGCCTGCCACGCTCACAGCCACTCACCTAGGGTGGGGAAGTTGCTTGGTTTCCCAGTGCTCCAGGTCCCAGCATTGCACGAGTCCCAGTAAATACCAGAGGCTCCAGCCTGGGCCATCGGAGCCTGCCACGCTCACAGCCGCTCACAAGTGTGGGGAGGGGTTGCTTCAAGCTGTTTCTTTCTAACAAAATGACCATTTCCCTGGCCAAGTTCTGAAATGGCCAACAGACCATAGAAAGAAATCTCGTTAGGCTCCTGCTTAAAACCAATAGCGTCAGGAAGCTGCCTTCCTTGATTCAGGGCCAGAGATTTGTATTTTTTCAGTTCCTATACCTGCTCCAGCTGTTGTATACAAACCCACTGCTCTGCCATGCCTAACAGAGCACCTTTCAGTATCTTTTTATCACATATCTTATAAGGTCACTAATAAAAACCAGTTCTCTCTATAGACTCAGCTGGTTAAAATTTTATTTGACATAGTTAGTAGTTGTGATTTTCTTATTGGCAGACCCTTGGGGAGAAAACTCTATATAATTGTTCATGATATCTTAATACTTAGATACAGAATTTCAGAAATGCATTTAGTTGTGAAAATCAATTATGTAGGATGATTTTTAAAGTACTAGAGAAAGGGTTTGAAAAAAGAACAGCAACTTGGATATGCTGTCATGTAAAGACAGACTACTCTAAAACATGTTACCCTCTCCAACTTCTCTTTCTTCTTCCTTCTCTCTCTCTTCCTTTTTAAACATTTTTTTATTCTCATTTTTAAATTCTTCTTGCTCTCTGTCTGACATAAGCAACTTTCCCTTCAGCTCCCTAGGATCTAGCACTCTCCCACCGGCGTGAGAACTTGATGGCCTTGCTCTGGCAAGCCAGTCAGTTTGAAGTCGCTTCCTAGGTCTTTGCTTCTCAGAATGGTCTGTGAGCCAGCAGCACTGGGCCTTGCCTGGAAGACTGCTAGAAATTGCATGGCTGTGATGGACCAGAAGAATCAGCTCTTGCCTTTCACAAGGCCCTCTGAGAATTCATATGCATAGTAAGTTTGAGATGTGTCACCGCCCCAGAGGAATCTAGTAGGCGTTTCTTCCTAGAACAGAATCCCCACTGGTGGGAGAAGAGGTTTGCTGTGCAACAGTGGCTTTAGGGTCCTTCTTAGTTAGCTCAGTTAGGACCAGGGTTGTCTGTGGGAAGGGAGATGTGTGTTATTGCAGGTGATGTGAAAAAACCATATCGTGCAGGGGAAGCATCTGCCAAGAATCCTGGCTACCATTTCACTGCCATGACTGACTGACAAGGTTCATTCAGCTACTGGCCAATCTTCATCAAGCAAAACTGTATTTAACAGACCTATACCTGGTGTTTTTAATGATGAGCTCATTAAAATGATTAAATGGGATCCTAAAATTTCTGTCATGAAAGACTAATAAATTATATTAATTATAGTACTCTTGTTTATAATATCATTATAAGTCAGTTTCCAAGTATCTTCAAATGCAAAAACTATATTCTACTCAAAATTTTGCCCTAAAGTTAGTTGCATGAAAGGGAATGGCTTGCTTTCTTTCTTGAGAATGGATTTCTGGAGCGAATGACTATCCTATAAGTACTGTATGTTAAACTGTTTTCCCAAAGCAATGTCTGGAAAGCCTTCCTTTTTTCCACACCAAGTTAAAAGTGTTCTAGCATGAGTTCCCAGCATGGCCAGCACTCCCAGCATGCGCTTGTGTGACTCTCATCTTCCAGTCTTATCACTGGTCTGACTAGCTGCGTGATAGGACCGTCACCCAAACCCAGTGGGTCACAGTCTTGCCCTCTATGAAATGTTAAATAAGTGAGGACTTTATGCACTCTAAATTCTGTTCTGTTACACACCAATATTCATGTCGGTCAGCAGAATGTTTCAAGATAGGTAGATGTGTTGGGAAGGATTTAAATAGATTCAGCTGGGTTACACCCTGTGCCTTAAGCGTTTTTATGTATCTTAAGTCTTTATTTCCAGTGCCCCCTCTCTTCTCTCAGATCAGCTTCTGGCAAGAGGGCAAAATAGCTAACGGGTAGTGAGGTACTGAACAAACAATGTCACTTTCCAAAAATAGGCAAAGGGGGTGCACCTGGAATTCCAGCTACCTGGAGGATGGAGGCAAAAGGCTCACAAATTTAAGGTCAGTCTGGGCAATTCAGCAAGATCTTAGCTCTAGAAAAACCAAACACAACTACCCCACTCCAACATCAAAAAACAAAAAGCACTCCATACCTAAATACAACCAAACCAGAGCAAAATGATACCTTGCTTTCCTGTCTACACCATGGATTTAGAAAAGCATCTAAATCTTTGTAAAAATACACGAGTTGCATGTTAAACACTTTTTATTATTTTGGAAATTTTCTTCATACATTCAGGACAACAGAGAATAAAAATTGTAAATCTTTTGATGTAATAGGGTGGCAGTTCTCCACAGAACCAAATTTTCGATTTGTAATATATGCAACAGAAAGAACATATGTTTTGAAATTCAAACATTTTGTACTTGTGCAGCATGTGTTAACTGCACTTAATTAGGATCTGAAACTCAAAACCTGAATGTCTTAAATAGGGGTAATAATATATGCTTCATAGAGTTACTAGCAGGATTCAAGATAGTGTGTACAAAGCTCCTGGCAAATAGTAGATGCTCAATAAATATCAGTAGTTATGTGTGACCAAGATAAAGGTCCCAAATGCCAGTTTCTGAGCTGGTGTGATTTTTGAGCCGACCAACAAAATTCTTGGGAATCAGACGGTCTTACCAGTCTGGCTCACCAGTCTCCCCTACCATCATTCCTCCTCTATCTCATGATACAACTTTAGGCAAGGTAAAGAGCATCTTAGCATCTCTGTGTCTTATTTCCCTCAGCTGTATAGTACTTACCTCAACATTTGTTGTCAGCTTCAAATAAGTCACTATATGTAAGGTACGCGATATTGTGCTTACTCAGAATTGCACAATAAATGTTTTATTTACCGCTTACCTTTTTACAAATCTACATTCCACAGAGTGTTCCCTCCATATTGGGTATATAATAATAATTAAGGGTATTTATTGCATACTTGTACCTGTTGTTTGCCTCTCTATGTCCCACCTGCATGTTCAGTCACTCTGTGGGGGAGAACAGAGCTGAACATTGATTGGGGCTGAGGTCAGCAAAGTCCATTGGCCGTTCTTGTGCCTTAGCCAAGCAAGATGGCTTTCTGCTAGGCTTCTCTGATGACAAGAGAGCTTATCAGGAGTGGCTCTGGGTTAGGATGGCTTCTGGTATCTTGTCCCAGATGGGCGGATCATGGATCCACACAGTCTTTTGAAGACACTCTATACTTTAAGAGCTCTCTGTCCTGGGAACTCCAGCCTCCCCTGCCAGGCTGAACCTTGTCACAGATCTTGGCATGTTTTAGACTTTAAGACATTTTTCATCTTATACTGATGCAACACCCAAAGTAAATGAATTCTGTGTTGTCTAAAATAAATGAAAGCAACACTCTTTTAAGAATCATTTTGAAATCTCATGATGCTTTATTTTAACAGCTGGAAATGAGAAAATGAAGGAATAAGTGATTACAGAATAAATCACTACAAGAACTTTTTTTTTTGTTTTTTTTTTTTTTTGTTTTTGTTTTTGTTTTTTTGTCTTTTTCCTTTTTGTTGGTACCGGGGATCGAACTCACAACTGCCTGCTTGCAAGGCAGGTGCTTATGCCGCTGAGCTAAACCTCCAGCCCCTCTACAAGAACTTTAAATTAAAGAAAAAAAACAAAAACAAAAACCTGCCTGCACCTAATGTTCTAATATACAGGAAAACAGCGTTTTTTGCTTAAACCATGTTCTTGTGCCCTTTCCTGTCTCTAGCTCTTTAAACCTTGACTACATTTTAGTTGTGTCTTTTTGTGTTTTAATTATTCTTTCAGTGAATGCAACATTTTAGGAGAGACTCTTAAAAATATGGGAATTCAGAAGCACTATTAGAACTTTGATTTTGGATGGCTTTCAACTATGGGGTGGTAAAGTATGTGGGGTGAAGCAGAAGGTGCGCTTTTAGGGGCCTCATGGTGGTCTTGGGGTCACAGAAGGTGACATGTGGCAGGAACATATGGGACTGGTGATGTCAGGCTTTCTTTGGGCATGCCTACTGCAGGTGTCCCTGCTCAGGGTCTTCACCATTCCTTCCACTTGGACTAGGAAGCCCCTTACTGCGAGTCATTGTGTCTATCAGCTCAAAATCAATGTTGTCTGGGATTGTTGGAGACTTGGCTTGGTTTTGTAAAACCTCATCAAGTATTTACCCCATTCTAGTTCTTTCCAGAAAGGTGAGTGTAGACCGGCTCTAGAGCTTTCCCCTCCAGTCTTTTGACAAGACTTTCTGTGACCCTGTGACACTGTGTCCTTGGGAAAATGTGATCAGAGAGTTGAAGAATTTTGCCATCTATAACGGGGACAAAGAAGGGCAAGAACACAAATATGCTATATCGTCAGCCTAGATCAGCTATTCCCAAATTTAAGTTCTTCGAAGACTAGTCATGCTTTTTTGTTTTGCCACATCTGTAAACCACAACTTCTGTTATTTTGGGGATTTATTCCTTAAAACTAAGGCACTTTTAAAAAAACATAGTTTTGTCATAGGAAATAACATCTGAAAATTTATGAGTTTTATGTGCTAGTTTCTTAATATAGAAAGAAGCAGAACAACTAAAATTAAATTTTAAAATGCATTTAAAAAAAATCATTTTATGTAACATAGTGCATAAATTTTGGGAAGCACTAACATGGGTATTCTGTGATTAAAGTCAGGATTGGATGTGGAGGAGTTAATTTACAAAGCCAGGGCTTATAGAAATACCTGTATATTGTAATCCCAAATGTTGTTTACCAGTCTTCCAAGTATTGTAATCTCTTTTGTAGTCATCCTCACAATCCAAAAAGTTGTATTTGTAGTCCCATTGAGAGGTTATTGGAATCCCAGCAAATTAATCCCAGTCTATCACCACCAATGCAACCCACGGCGAGAGTAAAGACAACAAGACATATTCTAAATTAAGCCAAGGGGTCCTAAATCAAATCCCCACAGTCCCTCTTGAGGGAGAACTCAGCTGAGTACTGATTAGGACTGAGGTCCGCTAAGCCCAATGTGGACAAAGGCCTTGATCCTAGGCCTCTCCCAGAATTTACTCTCTTGTGAAGAAGGGGGGTGGCTCAGGGATGGGTGACAGTGAGGATGGTGGGAATTACATGAGTAACCTGAACTGGCTGGCCAGGTGAGAGAAAAGCATCTCTG